AAAAACCTACGCCTTTCTTGATCCAGGCAGTTCGGCGACGTTCTGCACTGAGAACCTTATGAATCTGCTGAATGCCAAAGGACGCAGAACTGACATTCTTCTGCGTACGATGGGGCAGGAAAGACCTGTTAAGAGCTATGAGCTCACAGGTCTAGAAGTAAGCAGTATAGATGGAGATTTATATATAGACCTTCCAAAAGTATATACCCAACCAAAGATTCCTGTGTCGAAAGAAAACCTACTCACTCACCATGATCTTGAAAAATGGCCTTATCTGAAAGAAGTCAAACTGAAGAGAATCAACGCTAACATTGAGATTTTGATTGGAATTAACGTTCCAAAGGCAATGGAACCGTGGAAAATAGTGAACAGTCAAGGAAATGGGCCATATGCGATCAAGACTGTGCTAGGATGGGTAGTCAACGGACCACTTCATTCCTTTTCTTCAAAGGATGAAACTGGATTAAGGTCAGTGATGGCCAATCGCATCTCTATGGAGAATCTTAAGGATCTGATTATCAGGCAATATCATCATGACTTTCCAGAAAAGGATTACGAGGAAAGTAGAGAAATGTCAGCCGAAGACAAAAAGTTCATGAACATAGTAACGACTTCAGTAGAACTTAAAAATGGGCATTACCACCTACCCCTGCCTTTTCGTGATAAAGATGTAACTTTGCCTAACAACTATGATCTGACAGCACAGCGTACACTAAACCTTGCTAAAAGATTCAAGAAGGATTCTGTTTATGCAAATGAGTACAGTGTGTTCATGGAGGACGTGCTAAGAAAAGGATATGCAGAAAAGGTGCCACAAGAACAACTCCAAAGGAATGATGGTCAGGTGTGGTACATACCACATCATGGGGTGTACCACAAGAAGAAGGGGAAACTTCGAGTTGTTTTTGATTGTTCATCTTCATTCAAGGGCCATTCTCTTAATTCCAAACTTCTTCAAGGTCCTGATCTGATCAACCCTCTATTGGGTGTCTTGCTTAGATTCAGAAATGAAAAAATTTCAATAATGGCTGACATTGAAGCAATGTACTATCAGGTACGAGTTCAAAATCATCATCATGACTTTCTTCGATTCCTGTGGTGGCCAAAAGGGGATGTTGACCAGCCACTAGAAGTCTACAGGATGAATGTTCATCTTTTTGGTGCGGTGTCATCTCCAAGCATTGCAAATTTTGCTTTAAAGCAAACAGGAATCGATAATTCTGAACGGTACAGCTCACAAGTAATTGACACAATTAATCATAGTTTTTACGTCGATGATTGTCTCAAGTCTGTGGCTTCTGAGAAAGAAGCTATCAAGCTCATTGAAGACCTCAGGGAAGCATGCACCCTAGGAGGATTTACTTTACGTAAATGGGTGAGCAATAGCTCTGAAGTCCTTGAGACCATTCCAGAAAGTTACAGAGCCCCTCTTGTGAAACAGCTGGACTTGGACAGAGAAAAATCTCCTCTTGAGAGGGCACTCGGAATCCAGTGGAATATCCAAAAGGACGTCTTTACCTTCCGGGTAACCATTAAGAACAGAACTCCCACTAGACGAACAATCCTTTCTATAGTTAATTCCATATACGACCCACTAGGTTTCATTTCCCCTTTTGTTCTCAAGGCCAAGCAAATTCTGCAAAGACTCTGCCATGAGAAATATGGCTGGGATGAAATAATCCCAGATGGAATTGTGAGGCCATGGCAAAGATGGCTCACAGAGTTAGATCAGCTGAGCAGATTTGAAGTGGACAGGTGCATGAAGCCCGAGAACTTTGGTGTTGCAAAAACTGCTGAACTACACCATTTTTGTGACGCAAGCGAGCTAGGATATGGGACAGTAAGTTACCTCAAACTTACAAATAGTGTCAAAAATGTTCATGTCACATTTGTACTGGGAAAAGCCAGAGTAGTCCCACTCAAACGGATAACGATTCCGAGACTTGAGCTTGCAGCCGCAACCCTTGCTGTGAAGGTGGACAGAATGTTGCAAAAGGAACTTCATATGGAACTGGAAGATTCCACCTTCTGGACCGACAGTACGGTGGTACTGAAGTACATCCATAATCAGACAAAACGATTTCATACTTATGTCGCAAATAGAATTGCAGTGATACATAACCTCTCGCAAGTACATCAGTGGAGGTATGTATGTTCTGGAGACAACCCGGCAGATGACAGCTCCCGTGGCTTACAGATAGAATCCCTCCTGAATTCCACAAGATGGCTGAACGGTCCTCACTTCCTGTCAAAGGAGAAATCTGAATGGCCTGAAGTGCCAGAAGATCTCAGATACATCCCATCAAACGATATGGAAGTAAAAAGAGAACTCTCTAGTAACTACTTGAACCTGCAGAACAACGCGGTTACAAGAATAATTGAGTATTATTCTTCATGGAGGAAACTATTGAGAGCTATTGCATGGTGGCTAAGGCTCAAAGGACTCTTGATGCTTCAGAAAGACAAAGGTCTTACAATAGATTCACAATGCAAAATAAAGCAAAAAGGATTAACTCCAGAAGATTTGGACGAAGCTGAGAAGTCTGTCATTCGCTATGAACAACAGCGCTACTTCGACTCAGAGATAACACTCTTGAGAGAAAACAAACTCATCAAATCAAATAGCTCCATATACAAACTGGATCCAATCATTGATGAGGGCATTTTGAGGATTGGAGGAAGACTAAGTAAAGCAGCCATGCCGGTGAGTCTAAAGAACCCAATTATTCTACCCAAAGACTCACATATATCCAAACTGATCCTGCGTGACATACATCAAAAAGTCGGACACTCAGGAAGAAATCACATGCTTTCGAGACTGGGTCAGAGGTTCTGGATACCATCGGCAAATTCATCTGCAAGAAAGATAATAAAGTCTTGTGTCTTTGCAGACGAATGCAAGCTAAAGTTGGAGAACAAAAAATGGCTGACCTACCCGATGAACGTTGTCGCTCCTGATCTTCCACCTTTCTCACACGTGGGTATTGACTACTTTGGACCAATTGAAGTCAAACGAGGTCGTTCTCATGTAAAAAGATGGGGAGTGATATTTACCTGCCTGGCGAGCCGAGCAATACACCTCGAAGTAGCAAGCACGTTAGACACGAACTCTTGCATCAATGCTATACGACGGTTTTTATGTCGGAGGGGACCAGTATTGACCATCAGAACTGATCGTGGCACCAATTTTGTGTGTGCCCAGAAGGAATTAGAGGCCACCTTGAACCAGATGGACCATCACAAAATTCAAGAGACTTTGCTGAGTGATCATGTCAAGTGGACCTTTAATCCACCATTTGCAGCCCACTTCGGAGGAGTGTGGGAGAGATTAATCAAACTAGTTAAGAAAATACTGCTTTCTGTCCTGAAACAACAGACACTGGACGATGATCTGTTACAAACAGCTTTGTGTGAAGTTGAGTGTATCTCAATGACAGGCCCATCACAACTGTATCAGGTGACCCAAATGATCTTGAACCCCTAACACCAAATCACCTTCTGCAGTTGAAATCCAAACCCCTCTTGCCACCTGGACTCTTCAATAGAGATGACTTGTACTCTAGAAAGCGATGGAAACAGGTGCAATACCTTGCAGACCTTTTCTGGCAACGATGGACAACTGAATATCTTTCGTTGATGCAGCAACGACAAAAGTGGAACAATCCCAAGAGAAACTTCCAGGTAGATGACATAGTAGTCATAGTAGACGACACAGCACCGAGGAACTCGTGGCCCTTAGGTCGTGTGATGAAGACCCTGCCGGGGCCCAAAGGTCTTGTCCCGCAGTGTCTTGGTGAAGACTAAAACCACTGTTCTACAAAGACCCATCACCAAACTTTGTTTGCTTCTGGAAGCTGACAGTCAGCCTGAGCGATTCTGACAAAACAATGTCAGATTTCTACAGTCTTATGTGCACGCTTTCATTTATCCTGACAAACCTACATATATCATTACGTGCTCACACACCAGTACATATCTTTACATACATGGACTTTTCAAATTCGCACCACATATACACTCAAAATCTGCACATACATGGACTTCTCATCTTTCGCACCACATTTACACCCATTGGACTTTTTGTATCCTTCCCTATGGAGTGTGCTCTAGACACATCTATGGTATGAACTTTGGGGGTGATTCATGGGAATTGTTAAAAAAGATAGATGAAGTAAGATATCACAATGTATTAACATTGATGAATGAAATGCAATATGATTAATGTGATAAATGCTATGTAAATTGACATTTGTTTTTGTATACTGTACATATGGCAATACTGTATCTAGTCATATGAGTTCTGACTCCATTAGATATCTTATATTTGGTAATTGTTCTGCTTTGGCATTAACAATTAGGGGCCAGGATGTTGGAGCCATATTCAGAATGTTGTGTACTACCAGAATTATAATTAAGTAATGATTAAATTTGATTTATTTATTTTGTAATACATAATATTATGCTTTAAATGTACAAGGGAATTTTGTTTAATTTTAATACTTGTACTAACCTGGTTAAGCACATTTATTGACTCCTCCCCCTTTGACGCGTCACTACGATGCGTGAGTGCAGGTGTTGATAATGAGGTAGGATTGTTTGGCACAGACAGGTTAGAGTTTGGAGAGCAACAGTTTCTTCAATCGCATGAAATGCATGTTACTGATAGTGTTTTTCTTGGATGCCAATTTTTGTTTTTTGTTTGGAAAGTAAACCAGAGATTGCGATCAATAAATACGTTGTTTTTTGTTGTTATGACCGCTTCTCCGTGCGTGCTTAATGGACATGTAGATAAGAAGATACTCCTCATCTAACCTCGAGAGGCTAAAAGAATTAAGACATTAGGTATTAGCCTCTATATGTGCAGTACATAGGCTTTATAGGGTTAACGTGTGTTACTGCAGTAGCCGCAAGGACTGTTGATCCAGGATCATGTGCTAATAGTTTAAACAGGTCGACCACGACGGACACTCATTTATGTGCGATTGTGTGTTCTCTTTCAGATGAGACCAAGCTGAAGCTGTGGAACGTGACCAGCAGTAAGAATGTTCTTCAGCTGCCCAGCATCTTCCACCATCTGCCACACCTGCTGGCCAAGGAGAGCAGCCTCCAGCCGGCCGTGCACATCGGCCAGGGTCGCACCGGAGGTCAGTGTGGCACAGTCACAGCCCTTCTCCTCCAGACCTGTCCGCTTGCAGGGAGTCCACATAAACAACAAATAACCCAGCATTTGGGTAAAAAAAAGTGTGTGTATATATATATATTTAAATTACCCAGCATTTGGTTTAAAGTATTTTACAAAAATAACCCAGCATTTGGGTTAAAAAAATATTTTACAAAAATAACCCAGCATTTGGGGTTAAAATAAAAATAAAAATGACAGTCAGTGTGCCACCACAACCCTGGTACACCTTCTCCTGCAGGCTTGACCAGCTGCAGGGAGTCCACATAAACAACAAATAACCCAGCATCTGGGTTAAAAAAAAGTATTTATAAAAAAAAAAAAAAAACAGCATTTGGGTTAAAAGAGTATTTAAAAAATAAAATAACCCAGCATTTGGGTTTAAAAAGTTTTTTTTTAAATAACCCAGTATTTGGGTTAAAAATAAATAAATAACCCAGAATTTGGGTTAAAAAAATGTCCCAGCATTTGGGTTGAAACAAATATCCCTGCATTTGGGTTAAAGTATTAAAAAGAAATAAAAAAAAACAGCATTTGGTTTAAAAAAGTTCTAAATAAATAAATAACCCAGCATTTGGGTTGAAAAAATAACCCTGTATTTGGGTTAAAAAATAAGCCAAGTTCAGTGACTTTGTTGAATGTGTGTGTTCAGCGTCTCAGAGGCGAGTGTTGCTGAATGCTGGAGGAGGAGGCGGGAACCGAAAGACAGCACACATTACTTTAATCACAAAATAAACACGAACAACGAAACGACTGCGACTGCCGCAGAAACTAAAACAAAAGCCATCATGATGTCCAGGCATGGCCCTCTGTCGTCATTACTCCTTTTATCCTCCTTTCGTCCTCCTTTTATCCTTTTAATGAAGTTTTTATAGATTTTTGGAAGGTTGTTAACAAGCATACAACAATACAGTCTTAATAAAGGTTTGCAGGTTTCTATAAGCCACGATTTAACATAATAAAAGAAAAGTGCAAGTATCCAGAACTCCTCCCAGAGAGACACTCCTCCTCTCTAACACTGTTCACTCCATCTCCTGTCCTGGCTCTCGGCCTCTGGGGTGTGTGTGTGTGTGTGTGTGTGTGTGTCCAGCACAGCCTCGATCCGCTGCTCTTCATCCGGCGTTAATTAAGATTGAGCTCTGAGAAATGCAGATGCACCGTCACTGCCGTTCTAGAGAGAGGTGTAGGTTTAGGGGTCGTGTGTGTGTGTGTGTGTGTGAAGGGTACAGTATGTTTCAATGGTAATCTGTGAACAGTAAATGCACACAGGCTGGATTAGAGCATCTCTCTCTCTCTCTCTCTCTCTCTCTCTCTCTCTCTCTCTCTCTCTCTCTCTCTCTCTCTCTCTCTCTCTCTCTCTCTCTCTCTCTCTCTCTCTCTCTCTCTCTCTCTCTCTCTCTCTCTCTCTCTCTCTCTCTCTCTCTCAGTGTCGATAGTGTTGGGCGTCCCCAGTGTGAAGCGAGAGGTGCACACGTACCTGACGGACACGCTGAGCTCGCTGATGTTCCGAGCTGAGTCCGGCCGAGAAGGAGGACTGTGTGATCGTCGTCTTCATAGCAGAGGTGAGATCACAACACGGATCCTAAAGCATTTTCATAAAGTGATTTATAACAAAGTGAAGGTTAATAACTTTATTAGAGTTACTGAATCACGCCAATTCATTCAAACTGCTGATTCATTCAGAATATAAACAGGTCTCTGTATAAGTGAGTCATTGAATCATTCACTGAACGGTTCATTCGACACACAGATTCATTCAATATATTGACAAGTCTCTTTATTAATGAGTCATTGAATCTTTCATTGACCGATTCGTTCAAAATGCTGATTCAACTCCACCGCGGTGTTTTACCCTCAACAGTAAATCTGCTCTGGCTTTAAGATTTCCTAACAAGCTAAACATTAGACGTCTAATATTGGGTCTAAAATGTAAGTTACTCCATATTAACTTGTTCATTGAATTGTTGTATAAAAGCAATATCACACGTGTGGTCGTGATGATTATCCAGATATCAGCTCAGCAATGATCACACAGAACAACACGACTCTTGCTTGTCTGGCTTTGCTTAAATAGCTTGATTATATAATCTGACAGTTATCATCTAAACACATTAGTCCCTCAGGTAGCAGGTAATTAGGTACTTCTTGTTTCTAGCTTGCTGACTACTAAACTGGTAGCTCTCCTGGAGTGTGTCTGCTTGACGTTATGAGACTTTCAGAAGCTGCTGAACCATTTGCCAGTCCATTTGCTCATTGATTATACGTACGTCTGGCTTCTGCCCTGTAATAACCCTTCTCTGCCCGCTGTTCAGACATTAGCATACAATTAACACAAGTCCAGTCTCAAATCCCGCACTGTACACTGTGGACTTTATGCTCTACGAAAACGAACGCGCGCCGATATTCGTCCCGGTGTGTAAGGGGCTTTACAGTGTGACGGATCTCCCATAGAGCGTTGTTCAGGGTGTGATCTACTGACGAGGCACACGTTAAAGAACACACACCGCAGCTCATCTCCATAATGACCCAGGCAATCTACCAAGAGCAGCGCAAATGAGAAGCGGTTGGATAACGTCTTCCTCTGGCGCTCTGGATAAATGAAGACGACTGGAGGAAATTCTCTCTCTTCTATCACACGCTCTGTTCTTTGTGGTTCCTCGTCTTACAGCAACTGACACAGCATGTCAAGCGCCTGAATGGGTTAACACACACATGCTTTATATGGGGGTTAAATAATGGTGCAAACACCAGGAAATTGACGCGCAAACCTTATAAATCACCTTACATGATATATTTAAAGTCCCCCTGTGGTGTAACTCCTGCTTTTAATGTTGTTTATGTGTCTATGTGGTGTTTTTAATATGCTTTAAGACACACCATGTGTAAGTTCATAAGTCGACAGCATTGCTGAGTATTTTCTGCTTAAAACTGCAGTGAACCAAAGACAGTCTCAAAAACACGGTTTGAAATCGCTGGTGTTTCTGACGTCACAAACGACCTTGTAACCAATCAGATCAACGTGTGATCGTCAACCAGTGGATCTCTGAGCTGAGGGAGTGAGTGGAGGCGGGGCTCATTTGATATTCATAGAACCGCGCATACTAAATGAGGCAAGGGTGTCGAGTTACATTCAAGATATTTAAAGGCATGAAGACTTTTTTCAAGGAAGAAACGTTTAAATATGTCATTTTGGTGATCAAAGATGAGTTTTAAGGGGTAAAATGATCGACTACAGGGGGACTTTAAATACTCTCATACATTTAGCGTCTGAAAGGGAAACTCCTACAAATGCGTATGCAATATAGTCGGCTGCAAAAATAACCCTGTCCGCGCCTTTCCATCGCTCATTTATCACTGTGTGTCTTTAGCAAATCCTGATAGTAGTCTTTAACTCCAAAAGAGGGTTTGCACTGCTGCAAGCTGTTAGTAAATCTGGCCCTTAGTGTTTCGGTGAGTTTAGTGCATCATCTGTGGATTCTAAGTGCACTTTTTCATTTTAGACTTTTCAAGAACACACTTCTTGCACTATTCATACTAAAACAGCATAGAATAGTGCACAAGTATTCAGTGCGGGACTGACTGCAAGAGTGCATGTGATTCAGATGTCCTACATTCGTCATGTTGGCTTTCCATCAGATAGGGAAGTATTCGGCATATTCGGACACCGCTAATGAGGACAGAGCAGTATTGAGTTTTTTCCTACGCCACATGATGTTTTTGCGGTTCAGAGAGAGCACATTGCTAAAAGGAGCAGCGTAACAGTCGAAGCGCTGCAGCTCGGTCAGTGGGGGTTTCTAACAGTTGCAGTGTGAATATAACCGCAGCCGCTTGCTTGCACAGGTTCAGTGTGAACGAGGTCTCGAATCATTCGGCTTGTTGAGGAACGGTTTGCTATTACATTCAGCAATCACACTTTTCATCTAGAGGACAAATTATATGCAAAATATATTGTCTGACTTGTAGATTTTGGGGTGGAATGGAGCTGATCCTGGATCATTTCCATTATAGGTAGTGTTTTATTTTCTAAGAAGTTTTTATGAGAGAGCAGTGAAATAGATTTCTTTCAGATTACAGTATATTACAGTGATGTATAATGATGAATGCAGTAAAGCGTCATCCTGTGTTTCACCACACTGTATCTGAAGGACATTGTGCCATAGACACACACACACTGTACACTGTTGAGTGTGTTTGAGCCACTTCACTTTAATTAACATTGATGAGTTCATAACTGGCGGCAGTGAACACGTCTGTGTGTATGAGTGAGTTCTGTCTGGGTTGTGTATTCACACACCTTTTACTTTGGGGATAATTTAAGTACGTGCCATATCTCATTTTTATTATAATATTATCTCTGTAAGGGTATGTAACACGCATCTAGAGCCCAGTCCTCACTTTCTTTCTTGTTTGCTGTCATTCCCAGCATGTTAAATGGATAATTCACCCAAAAATGAAACACAAAATTATTGTAAAATGGTTCATATGACTCATGCACTATATTCTAATAGTTTTATGTGAGAACCAAAATTCACTGAAATTACTGGAAAGAATTGAAATGTATTCACTGAAAAATAATATTTCTCATTCATTGTAATTGCCTGGAAAAGAACGACCAGTGCAATCTTCAGATTCCCTCCGTTTGTGTTCCTGTGAATAAAAAAAGAAAGTCATTTGAGTTTGGAATGACATTAGGGTGATAAGTTATAATTTTTGGGTGAAATATAAACAAACAAAAAAAAGATTATATTGATTAATTTGCTGCTTTTGATGAAGAACTTACATCTTGCCCGTTAAAAAAGTACATTCTATAAGTGTGTTATATGAACAGTTTATGTGTTGTCCACACACCTGCGACTTGATCAGATTCAGTTGAACTCATATGCATGTAATTTGCATATACAATTTAGATTGTAAGCCAGTCGGTTTCATTGATATGATATGGCTTCACTATATGCAGGGAGTCAGACTCCACTCTAAAAACACTCCGAACACTCTAGTGCTGAACACCATCATGCTAAAAACACTCCGAACACTCTAGTGCTGAACACCATCATGCTAAAGACACTCCGAACACTCTAGTGCTGAACACCATCATGCTAAAAACACTCCGAACACTCTAGTGCTGAACACCATCATGCTAAAGACACTCCTGACACTCTAGTGCTGAACACCATCATGCTAAAAACACTCCGAACACTCTAGTGCTGAACACCATCATGCTAAAAACACTCCGAACATTCTAGCGCTGAACACCATCATGCTAAAAACACTCTGAACATTCTAGCGCTGAACACCATCATGCTAAAAACACTCCGAACACTCTAGTGCTGAACACCATCATGCTAAAAACACTCCGAACACTCTAGTGCTGAACACCATCATGCTAAAGACACTCCGGACACTCTAGTGCTGAACACCATCATGCTAAAAACACTCTGAACATTCTAGCGCTGAACACCATCATGCTAAAAACACTCCGAACACTCTAGTGCTGAACACCATCATGCTAAAGACACTCCTGACACTCTAGTGCTGAACACCATCATGCTAAAAACACTCCGAACACTCTAGTGCTGAACACCATCATGCTAAAAACACTCCGAACATTCTAGCGCTGAACACCATCATGCTAAAAACACTCTGAACATTCTAGCGCTGAACACCATCATGCTAAAAACACTCCGAACACTCTAGTGCTGAACACCATCATGCTAAAAACACTCCGAACACTCTAGTGCTGAACACCATCATGCTAAAGACACTCCGGACACTCTAGTGCTGAACACCATCATGCTAAAGACACTCCGGACACTCTAGTGCTGAACACCATCATGCTAAAGACACTCCGGACACTCTAGTGCTGAACACCATCATGCTAAAGACACTCCGGACACTCTAGTGCTGAACACCATCATGCTAAAGACACTCCTGACACTCTAGTGCTGAACACCATCATGCTAAAGACACTCCGGACACTCTAGTGCTGAACACCATCATGCTAAAGACACTCCTGACACTCTAGTGCTGAACACCATCATGCTAAAGACACTCCGGACACTCTAGTGCTGAACACCATCATGCTAAAGACACTCCGGACACTCTAGTGCTGAACACCATCATGCTAAAGACACTCCGGACACTCTAGTGCTGAACACCATCATGCTAAAGACACTCCGGACACTCTAGTGCTGAACACCATCATGATAAAAACACTCCGGACACTCTAGTGCTGAACACCATCATGCTAAAGACACTCCGAACACTCTAGTGCTGAACACCATCATGCTAAAGACACTCCGGACACTCTAGTGCTGAACACCATCATGCTAAAGACACTCCGGACACTCTAGTGCTGAACACCATCATGATAAAAACACTCCGGACACTCTAGTGCTGAACACCATCATGCTAAAGACACTCCGAACACTCTAGTGCTGAACACCATCATGCTAAAGACACTCCGGACACTCTAGTGCTGAACACCATCATGCTAAAGACACTCCGGACACTCTAGTGCTGAACACCATCATGCTAAAGACACTCCGGACACTCTAGTGCTGAACACCATCATGCTAAAGACACTCCGGACACTCTAGTGCTGAACACCATCATGCTAAAGACACTCCGGACACTCTAGTGCTGAACACCATCATGCTAAAGACACTCCGGACACTCTAGTGCTGAACACCATCATGCTAAAGACACTCCGGACACTCTAGTGCTGAACACCATCATGCTAAAGACACTCCGAACACTCTAGCGCTGAACACCATCATGCTAAAAACACTCCGGACACTCTAGTGCTGAACACCATCATGCTAAAGACACTCCGGACACTCTAGTGCTGAACACCATCATGCTAAAGACACTCCGGACACTCTAGCGCTGAACACCATCATGCTAAAAACACTCCGGACACTCTAGTGCTGAACACCATCATGCTAAAGACACTCCGGACACTCTAGTGCTGAACACCATCATGCTAAAGACACTCCGGACACTCTAGCGCTGAACACCATCATGCTAAAGACACTCCGGACACTCTAGCGCTGAACACCATCATGCTAAAGACACTCCGGACACTCTAGCGCTGAACACCATCATGCTAAAGACACTCCTGACACTCTAGTGCTGAACACCATCATGCTAAAGACACTCCGGACACTCTAGTGCTGAACACCATCATGCTAAAGACACTCCGGACACTCTAGTGCTGAACACCATCATGATAAAGACACTCCGGACACTCTAGCGCTGAACACCATCATGCTAAAGACACTCCGGACACTCTAGCGCTGAACACCATCATGCTAAAAACACTCCGGACACTCTAGCGCTGAACACCATCATGCTAAAGACACTCCGGACACTCTAGTGCTGAACACCATCATGCTAAAGACACTCCGGACACTCTAGTGCTGAACACCATCATGCTAAAAACACTCCGGACACTCTAGTGCTGAACACCATCATGCTAAAGACACTCCGGACACTCTAGTGCTGAACACCATCATGCTAAAGACACTCCGGACACTCTAGTGCTGAACACCATCATGCTAAAGACACTCCGGACACTCTAGTGCTGAACACCATCATGCTAAAAACACTCCGAACACTCTAGTGCTGAACACCATCATGCTAAAGACACTCCGAACACTCTAGTGCTGAACACCATCATGCTAAAGACACTCCGGACACTCTAGTGCTGAACACCATCATGCTAAAAACACTCCGGACACTCTAGTGCTGAACACCATCATGCTAAAGACACTCCGGACACTCTAGTGCTGAACACCATCATGCTAAAGACACTCCGGACACTCTAGTGCTGAACACCATCATGCTAAAAACATTCCGGACACTCTAGTGCTGAACACCATCATGCTAAAGACACTCCGGACACTCTAGTGCTGAACACCATCATGCTAAAGACACTCCGAACACTCTAGTGCTGAACACCATCATGCTAAAGACACTCCGGACACTCTAGTGCTGAACACCATCATGCTAAAAACACTCCGGACACTCTAGTGCTGAACACCATCATGCTAAAAACACTCCGGACACTCTAGTGCTGAACACCATCATGCTAAAGACACTCCGGACACTCTAGTGCTGAACACCATCATGCTAAAAACACTCCGGACACTCTAGTGCTGAACACCATCATGCTAAAAACACTCCGGACACTCTAGTGCTGAACACCATCATGCTAAAGACACTCCGGACACTCTAGTGCTGAACACCATCATGCTAAAAACACTCCGGACACTCTAGTGCTGAACACCATCATGCTAAAGACACTCCGGACACTCTAGTGCTGAACACCATCATGCTAAAGACACTCCGGACACTCTAGTGCTGAACACCATCATGATAAAAACACTCCGGACACTCTAGTGCTGAACACCATCATGCTAAAGACACTCCGGACACTCTAGTGCTGAACACCATCATGCTAAAGACACTCCGGACACTCTAGTGCTGAACACCATCATGATAAAAACACTCCGGACACTCTAGCGCTGAGCACCATCATGCTAAAAACACTCTGGACACTCTAGTGCTGAACACCATCATGATAAAAACACTCCGGACACTCTAGTGCTGAACACCATCATGCTAAAAACACTCCGGACACTCTAGTGCTGAACACCATCATGCTAAAGACACTCCGGACACTCTAGTGCTGAACACCATCATGATAAAAACACTCCGGACACTCTAGCGCTGAACACCATAATGCTAAAAACACTCTGGACACTCTAGCGACCGAACGGACATAAGCTGAAAGAAATCTTTTTTCCTCTGAAAGCGCTACTCACATTTTCATCAGGAAATGTACAAATGTTGTTGTTTGTTGCACTTTCCGTCTCATTGACACTTTTCAGCCCTTTTTTGTTTTTAATAGAACTAAAAGGATTGTGCAAATGCTTGGTGTTTTTGATCCTGTGATTAAACCGTTCTGAAGAGTAGCTGACGTGAATCTAAATGGGTCAGAATGGTATTTCTGCAAGCTTTGAAAAAGCAGCATTTCCCACTTCTCTGGAAACTGAAGGTTTGGTCAGAGTTTCTGCAGGTGTTTCCTCATCATCATCACTCGTTCTCTTCTCTACGTCTCAGGATAATTCTCAACACAATGAGTCGGTGATGAGAGATGTGTGGGAAATGACGAGGATGTGATGTTTCCGCAGGACTGTGACGCAGTGTGTGTATCCTCACATTATACCCTCGTCCTTGAATTTCACTGTTAGACCGACTCCATCCGACACAGAACTCACAACCGCTCTAGAGCATTTCAACACTTCAAGTCTTCATGAAACTGAAATAACGATCTTCTTTTCTCTATTGTGCCTTATATCCGAGTGAAACGCTTTTGAAACCAGAACAAATGTAGGGCAGGTCTTGATTTTGCCCGTGAGGAATTATCATAATAATCATAATTAAGAGATGACAACATGATGATCTACTTGGAACCGTTCATGTCAGAATTATGCCTTTCTATGGCAACACTATGAATCTGCAGGTCAGGTGGTACAGCGTCACATGGCACAAGTCAGATCATTCCCAGTGTACAAGTTGTAATTACGAGTTCTACAAGGACGTGAACGCATTGTATAAGTCATAATCCCGCCAATATTCAACATGTTCAACATGAAAAACAGCAAAAACTGACACTCAACTTCGGCCTTAAAGATGTGCATGGATAAATTATACTGCTGTATTCCAAAAATATAGTCAATTTTGATTCATGGAGACTTTAAACTACACTAAAAATGTCTGAATGCTGAACTGATCAATCCAATCCAAGTGGCTTTACCTTAAATTCAGCACAAACTTTTAAAGGTTGCATATAGAGTTTTAAATGATAAAGCAATGATCTGACAGAAATAACTGATGTCAACTTTTGTACAGCTGAACCATTCTGGTTAAACTCAGAATCAGGATTCTTTTGTTTCAAACAGAGATTACGATTCTCTCATGATTCTGAACAGACAACTAAACAATGTAACATGTCATTTAATAGAGGCTCCGACAAAATGTTAATTGCTGCAGTCTAGTTAAAATGTTGAATTAATCTGAATGAATTATTTAAAAAAACTGTTTGAATGAATGATTTAATGACTCACTCATAAATACTTGTTTCTTTACTGGACGAATCAGTGTTTTTGATCGAATCTCTTCAGTGAATGATTCAATGACTCACGCATAAAGTCTTCACTTGTTTCATTACTGGACGAATCAGTGTTTTTGAATGAATCTCTTGAGTGAATGATTCAATGACTCACTCATAAATACTTATTTTATTACTGGATGAATCAGTGTTTTTGAATGAATCTCTTGAGTGAATGATTCAATGACTCACTCATAAATACTTATTTTGTAATTGATACAATCTTTATTTGAAGCGTCAAGTTACTTTCAAAAGTTAATTTACTCTTATTTTAATGGCTTCCGTAGACATCAGTGTTTACATCCGAACTATAAACTTTTATCTCAGTACTTCTGTGATAATATGATTATTTGTAACACAAAACAGGCTGTGAAGCTGTTTGACAACGGCTCTCTCTGGATCAGAACGCAGATCTGAATGTTTCGGTGTGGTTTTGGCAAAGTTGAATAGAATCGTTGTCATTTAGGAATGAGATCGCATGGGTGTTTGAATCGAGATCGCGATCGTTTAACGTTTAACCGTGCAGCTCTAGCACCCCTTGTGGCAGCTCCAAGAATATGCCATACTTGAGTTGTGTTTGGCTACGGTGAAGTCCGTCTGCTGTTTTATAGTGGAAAGAGCTTCATTTGCTTTCGTTATTGGACAGTTCAAGTTCTTCACAGACACTATAATCTCTTTAGCAGGAAAAGTCAGGAAATGTGAACCAACATTGTACTTATAACATCCATCCAAAACACTGCTACAAACACTTGTCCATCTCAAAGGTAAACATGTATTGATTGGGAAAGATTGTGTGATTTCTGAAAGTCAACACTGGTTCTTGCTTTGTTTTACAGACGGATCAACAATATGCAAATAGTGTTGCTGAAAACCTCAAGCGCCTGTGAGTACCCTAGTTTCCCATCACTATCTGCTGGAGTTTCCCCGATACTGTGTGTGTGTGTGTGTGTGTGTGTGTGTGAGATAGAGAGAGAGAGAGAGCATGTGACTGCACACTTTCCCCCGCATGCTTTAGTGGACAATAGCAGAAGACACTGACGGGAAATTCATCCTCTGGGTGTTAGAGTTCCTCTGCTTCAGTGTGTGTCCCACATCAGTCCTGTGTGTGTGAGAGAGAGAGAGAGAGAGAGAGAGAGAGAGAGAGAGAGAGAGAGAGAGAGAGAGAGAGAGAGAGAGAGAGAGAGAGAGAGAGAGAGAGAGAGAGAGAGAGAGAGAGAGAGAGAGAGAGAGAGAGAGAGAGCATGTGAGTGTGTCCCACATCAGTCCTGTGTGTGTCCCACATCAGTCATGTGCTGTTGTTCATAATGAATTCTGCAAAGACTTACAATACTGGAACACTAGTGTGTGTGTGTGTCTGAGTCTGTGTCTGTGTCTCTTTGTGTCTGAGTCTGTGTCTGTGTCTGAGTCTGTGTCTGAGTCTGTGTCTGAGTCTGTGTCTGAGTCTGTGTCTGTGTCTGAGAGTCTGAGTCTGTGTCTGAGTCTGTGTCTGTGTCTGAGAGTCTGTGTCTGAGTCTGTGTCTGAGTCTGTGTCTGTGTCTGTGTCTGAGTCTGAGTCTGTGTCTGTGTCTGTGTCTGAGTCTGTGTCTGTGTCTGTGTCTGAGTCTGAGTCTGTGTCTGAGTCTGTGTCTGAGTCTGTGTCTGAGTCTGAGTCTGAGTCTGTGTGTCTGAGTCTGAGTCTGAGTCTGTGTGTCTGAGTCTGTGTGTCTGAGTCTGTGTGTCTGAGTCTGTGTGTCTGAGTCTGTGTGTCTGAGTCTGTGTGTCTGAGTCTGTGTGTCTGTGTCTGTGTCTGTGTCTGAGTCTGAGTCTGAGTCTGTGTCTGTGTCTGTGTCTGTGTCTGAGTCTGTGTCTGAGTCTCTGTGTCTGTGTCTGTGTCTGTGTCTGAGTCTGAGTCTGTGTCTGAGTCTGTGTCTGTGTCTGTGTCTGTGTCTGTGTCTGTGTCTGAGTCTGTGTCTGTGTCTGTGTCTGTGTCTGTGTCTGAGTCTCTGTGTCTGTGTCTGTGTCTGTGTCTGTGTCTGAGTCTGTGTCTGAGTCTGTGTCTGAGTCTGTGTCTGTGTCTGTGTCTGAGTCTGTGTCTGAGTCTGTGTCTGTGTCTGAGTCTGAGTCTGTGTCTGTGTCTGTGTCTGTGTCTGTGTCTGAGTCTGAGTCTGAGTCATTGTCTGTGTCTGTGTCTGTGTGTCTGAGTCTGTGTCTGAGTCTGAGTCTGAGTCGGTGTCTGAGTCTGAGTCTGTGTCTGTGTCTGAGTCTGTGTCTGTGTCTGAGTCTGAGTCTGAGTCTGTGTCTGAGAGTCTGTGTCTGAGTCTGTGTCTGAGTCTGTGTCTGAGTCTGTGTCTGAGTCTGTGTCTGTGTCTGTGTCTGTGTCTGAGTCTGTGTCTGAGAGTCTGAGTCTGTGTCTGAGTCTGTGTCTGTGTCTGAGAGTCTGTGTCTGAGTCTGTGTCTGAGTCTGTGTCTGTGTCTGAGTCTGAGTCTGAGTCTGTGTCTGTGTCTGTGTCTGAGTCTGTGTCTGTGTCTGAGTCTGTGTCTGAGTCTGTGTCTGAGTCTGTGTCTGAGTCTGAGTCTGTGTCTGAGTCTGAGTCTGTGTGTCTGAGTCTGAGTCTGTGTGTCTGAGTCTGTGTGTCTGAGTCTGTGTGTCTGAGTCTGAGTCTGTGTGTCTGAGTCTGTGTCTGTGTCTGTGTCTGTGTCTGAGTCTGTGTCTGAGTCTGAGTCTGAGTCTGAGTCTGAGTCTGTGTCTGTGTCTGTGTCTGAGTCTGTGTCTGAGTCTCTGTGTCTGTGTCTGTGTCTGTGTCTGAGTCTGAGTCTGTGTGTCTGAGTCTGTGTCTGTGTCTGTGTCTGTGTCTGTGTCTGAGTCTCTGTGTCTGTGTCTGTGTCTGTGTCTGAGTCTGAGTCTGAGTCTGAGTCTGTGTCTGTGTCTGAGTCTGAGTCTGAGTCTGAGTCTGTGTCTGTGTCTGTGTCTGTGTCTGTGTCTGACTCTGTGTCTGTGTCTGTGTCTGTGTCTGAGTCTGAGTCTGTGTCTGAGTCTGAGTCTGTGTCTGTGTCTGTGTCTGTGTCTGAGTCTGAGTCTGTGTCTGAGTCTGTGTCTGAGTCTGTGTCTGTGTCTGTGTCTGTGTCTGTTTCTGAGTCTGAGTCTGTGTCTGTGTCTGAGTCTGTGTCTGAGTCTGAGTCTGAGTCTGTGTCTGAGTCTGAGTCTGTGTCTGTGTCTGAGTCTGAGTCTGAGTCTGTGTCTGTGTCTGAGTCTGTGTCTGAGTCTGAGTCTGAGTCTGTGTCTGTGTCTGAGTCTGTGTCTAAATCTTTGTCTGAGTCTGTGTCTGAGTCTGTGTCTGTGTCTGAGTCTTTGTCTGAGTCTGAGTCTGTGTCTGAGTCTGTGTCTGAGTCTGAGTCTGTGTCTGTGTCTGTGTCTGTGTCTGAGTCTGTGTCTGAGTCTCTGTGTCTGTGTCTGTGTCTGTGTCTGAGTCTGAGTCTGTGTGTCTGAGTCTGTGTCTGTGTCTGTGTCTGTGTCTGAGTCTTTGTCTGAGTCTGAGTCTGTGTCTGAGTCTGAGTCTGAGTCTGAGTCTGAGTCTGTGTCTGTGTCTGTGTCTGAGTCTGTGTCTGAGTCTCTGTGTCTGTGTCTGTGTCTGAGTCTGAGTCTGTGTGTCTGAGTCTGTGTCTGTGTCTGTGTCTGAGTCTCTGTGTCTGTGTCTGTGTCTGTGTCTGAGTCTGTGTCTGTGTCTGTGTCTGAGTCTGTGTCTGAGTCTCTGTGTCTGTGTCTGTGTCTGTGTCTGTGTCTGAGTCTGAGTCTGAGTCTGAGTCTGTGTCTGTGTCTGAGTCTGAGTCTGAGTCTGAGTCTGAGTCTGTGTCTGTGTCTGAGTCTGAGTCTGAGTCTGTGTCTGTGTCTGTGTCTGAGTCTGTGTCTGAGTCTCTGTGTCTGTGTCTGTGTCTGTGTCTGAGTCTGTGTCTGAGTCTGTGTCTGTGTCTGTGTCTGAGTCTCTGTGTCTGTGTCTGTGTCTGTGTCTGTGTCTGAGTCTGTGTCTGTGTCTGTGTCTGAGTCTGTGTCTGAGTCTCTGTGTCTGTGTCTGTGTCTGTGTCTGAGTCTGTGTCTGAGTCTCTGTGTCTGTGTCTGTGTCTGTGTCTGAGTCTGAGTCTGAGTCTGTGTCTGTGTCTGAGTCTGAGTCTGTGTCTGTGTCTGTGTCTGTGTCTGTGTCTGTGTCTGTGTCTGAGTCTTTGTCTGTGTCTGAGTCTGTGTCTGTGTCTGAGTCTGAGTCTGAGTCTGAGTCTGTGTCTGTGTCTGTGTCTGAGTCTGTGTCTGAGTCTCTGTGTCTGTGTCTGTGTCTGTGTCTGAGTCTGAGTCTGTGTGTCTGAGTCTGTGTCTGTGTCTGTGTCTGAGTCTCTGTGTCTGTGTCTGTGTCTGAGTCTGTGTCTGTGTCTGTGTCTGAGTCTGTGTCTGAGTCTCTGTGTCTGTGTCTGTGTCTGTGTCTGTGTCTGAGTCTGAGTCTGAGTCTGTGTCTGTGTCTGAGTCTGAGTCTGAGTCTGTGTCTGTGTCTGTGTCTGTGTCTGTGTCTGACTCTGTGTCTGTGTCTGTGTCTGTGTCTGAGTCTGTGTCTGAGTCTGAGTCTGTGTCTGTGTCTGTGTCTGTGTCTGAGTCTGAGTCTGTGTCTGAGTCTGTGTCTGAGTCTGTGTCTGTGTCTGTGTCTGTGTCTGTTTCTGAGTCTGAGTCTGTGTCTGAGTCTGTGTCTGAGTCTGAGTCTGAGTCTGAGTCTGTGTCTGAGTCTGAGTCTGTGTCTGAGTCTGAGTCTGTGTCTGTGTCTGAGTCTGAGTCTGTGTCTGTGTCTGTGTCTGAGTCTGAGTCTGAGTCTGTGTCTGTGTCTGAGTCTGTGTCTAAATCTTTGTCTGAGTCTGTGTCTGAGTCTGTGTCTGTGTCTGAGTCTTTGTCTGAGTCTGAGTCTGTGTCTGAGTCTGTGTCTGTGTCTGAGTCTGAGTCTGTGTCTGTGTCTGTGTCTGTGTCTGTGTCTGAGTCTGTGTCTGAGTCTGTGTCTGAGTCTGTGTCTGTGTCTGAGTCTATGTTTGAGTCTGTGTCTGAGTCTGTGTCTGTGTCTGTGTCTGAGTCTGTGTCTGTGTCTGAGTCTGTGTCCTTCCAATAAGTCCTTCAAACCTGCAAATTCACATTCATTTTGATTATATGGAAAGGAGCAGATTGGACATTTTAACAAAAGTTTAACATAAGCAATGAAGTCAGACAGAATTAGTTACTTCAAATTTATTTATTAGGATAAACCCCTTGAGATGCATCATCTCGTTTTCGAGGGGGTCCTAGAATGTGGTATCAATATATATACAGTTGTCTTCGCAGCGCACTAAACCTCTGCTCTTCCTGTGTGTGTTTCAGGTTCCCAGTGGAGATTCAGTCTGGGCTGCTGGAGATCATCTCTCCGTCTGTTCACTTCTACCCAGACTTCTCTCACCTCAAAGAGTCGTTCGGGGACCCTAAAGAGCGGGTCAGGTAACGCCTGCGCCTCTCATCCGTCAGTGTGTGTGTGCTGCAATTAACCATCAGTCAACAGTGTGAACGCGGAGATGCATTCAGTCACTCCGCATGGAAAACATATTTAGGGCTCTATGAAATCTGTTTTATTTTTCACCAAAGTACTTTTTATTTTTTCCTGGATTCTGTTATGTTTTCCTGGTTTAAAGGGGTCAAGACGTTTTTGCCTTGATCTTTGTGCCATTAAATACTCCTGCCGGTTTCAGAGCTGAAAACATCCTCATGATAAACCAAGCATTTATTTCATCAAGCTACAAAAACAGCTCGTTTTGATATTGCAGGATCTGTGATGTCACACGGGCAAATACATTTGCATATGCCCGCCTCCAGAGCAAGACATCGACCAATAGTAATCATCATTGTACACAACTGTGTGTGTGTGTGTGTGTTCCACCAGGATCAGGCTTCTTTATGCCTTATTCATGAGTGCACACACACACACACACATAAATATTAGTATTGTAACCTGTAGTGTAAATGAAACACTAGTGTGAATGTAATGTGGACTGCAACTAAAATGATGTTTGAGTTCACTTTAAAGTCCAGCAACAAAGTCAATATAAAACGCGTACTAAAGAACAATTGGGGGCCGGATTGTCTAAACGGCTCAAGCACTGAATGGGTTAACACACGCTGGTGATGGGGTAACTGATGCTGCAACACCTGAAGTGATCCGCTCAACCTCTTTTAGTCTCTCTCCAAAGTGGTCCTTTCTGGACACACACACACACACACACACACACACACACACACACACACACACACACACACATGATCTCTTTTCACTTTCTCCTCATGTAAACCGTCAGGACTGATGGCAGTCAGATCTCATCAGGTCAAGCAGTCTGATGACCAGATCAATGCTGGATCCAGCACACACTCCAGCACACACTCCACACACACTCTAGTCAATAACCAGTCAGCCAAGACAAACACAGGTCCATTTCGAGCGCATTCATTTCTCTCCACGCGTGTGTTGCAAGCGTTTCGCTCAGCATGTGTTTTTCAGGAGTAGTTGAAATATTCATGTTTTCTGAGTTTGAGAGCGTACTGTCGGCCTAACAGGTGGTGTTTATACTAAGATGAATTATTCCGTCGTTCCACAGGTGGAAAACTTGCATGTGTTTATTCAAATGCCTCAACATTTGGTTTAGTGTGAAACTCATTTCGTTTTCATTACACTAAATTAAATCCAGTCTTTTAGTATTTAAAGACTTCGACTGATCTGTAAACAACCAACATGAGTGAGTGTGTGCGAGTGTGTGTCTGTGTGTGTGTGCGCGCATGTGTGCGCATGTGTGTGCGCGTGTGTGCGCGTGTGTATGTGCGTGTGTGTGTGTGTGTGTGCGCGTGTGTGTGTGTGCGTGTGTGTGTGTGTGCAAAAAAAAATCGTACTGACCCCAAACTTTTGAACAGTATTGAAGTTTTGTATAATGTGACAACATTAATAAATGCTAAATATAAATGCTCTTCTTTTGAACTCTATCCATTAAAGAATTCTGAGAAATAAAATCGTCCACGACTGTTTTCAACACTGATAATAATCATAAATGTTTCTTGAGCATCAAATCGTCATATTAGAGTGATTTCTGAAGACTGGAGTAATGATGCTGAACATTCTGCTTTGATCACAGGAATAAATTACACTTTACTATATATTATTAAATATACACTCACCTAAAGGATTATTAGGAACACCAGTTCAATCTCTCATTAATAAAATTACCTAATCAACCAATCACATGGCAGTTGCTTCAATGCATTTAGGGGTGTGGTCCTGGTCAAGACAATCTCCTGAACTCCAAACTGAATGTCAGAATGGGAAAGAAAGGTGATTTAAGCAGTTTTGAGCGTGGCATGGTTGTTGGTGCCAGACGGGCCGGTCTGAGTATTTCACAATCTGCTCAGTTACTGGGATTTTCACGCACAACCATCTCTAGGGTTTACAGAGAATGGTCCGAAAAAGAAAAAACATCCAGTGAGCGGCAGTCCTGTGGGCGAAAATGCCTTGTTGATGCCAGAGGTCAGAGGAGAATGGCCAGACTGGTTCGAGCTGATAGAAGGGCAACTTTGACTGAAATAACCACTCGTTACAACCGAGGTATGCAGCAAAGCATTTGTGAAGCCACAACACGCACAACCTTGAGGCGGATGGGCTACAACAGCAGAAGACTCCACCGGGTACCACTCATCTCCACTACAAATAGGAAAAAGAGGCTACAATTTGCAAGAGCTCACCAAAATTGGACAGTTGAAGACTGGAAAAATGTTGCCTGGTCTGATGAGTCTCGATTTCTGTTGAGACATTCAGATGTTAGAGTCAGAATTTGGCGTAAACAGAATGAGAACATGGAACCATCATGCCTTCTTACCACTGTGCAGGCTGGTGGTGGTGGTGTAATGGTGTGGGGGATGTTTTCCTGGCACACTTTAGGCCCCTTAGTGCCAATTGGGCATCGTTTAAATGCCACAGCCTACGTGAGCATTGTTCCTGACCATGTCCATCCCTTTATGGCCACCATGTACTCTGTCCTCTGATGGCTACTTCCAGCAGGATAATGCACCATGTCACAAAGCTCGAATCATTTCAAATTGGTTTCTTGAACATGACAATGAGTTCACTGTACTAAAATGGCCCCCACAGTCACCAGATCTCAACCCAATAGAGCATCTTTGGGATGTGGTGGAACGGGAGCTTCGTGCCCTGGATGTGCATCCCACAAATCTCCATCAACTGCAAGATGCTATCCTATCAATATGGGCCAACATTTCTAAAGAATGCTTTCAGCACCTTGTTGAATCAATGCCACGTAGAATTAAGGCAGTTCTGAAGGCGAAAGGGGGTCAAACACAGTATTAGTATGGTGTTCCTAATAGTCCTTTAGGTGAGTGTATATTATTATTATTACTTTTTATTTTGCAGTTTTACTATAGTAATATATTTAATGAAATAATTTTGACAGTTATATAAATAATTACATGTTAATAATAATAATGATGTAATAATAATGCTGATGCTGATGATGATATTAGTGGTGAGTTTCTCCTGATATCATCATGCTCAAACTGACGGTTTATCCATATTTTGCTGCTGTTCTTCCTGGAGCGCTCGGCCGATCTCTGTCATCTCTCTCTCCTCTGAAGCGTTTGCATGAACGTGTGTGTTGAATGCTGGACACTCGTATAGCCTGACGTTACTTCCTTCATCACACCGAAGCGCAGATGCAGAGGAGAGTTTCTCCCGCGGGTGTGTGTGTGTGTGTGTGTGTGTCGTTGAACAGATCAGATAAGAAACTCCGATGTAAATTTGTGTGAATGTACACGTCTGTCAGATCGCTTCCTTGCGGCAGGGCTCGTCTCACAGCAACACACTCCGTTTGTATGCGTGTGTGTTTATGTAAAATAGACACACTCAGAGATAGGCTTGTGCGTTTATCGTTTCCACACCATCTGTTGCATTCGGCATGTGTAATTTCTTCATTAAAGAAATAATACTTCTCCTATCCTAGTATAATATACATAGACAGAGTAAGCCATTGATAGGCTGATTCCCTGAAAAGTGTTATATGACACGGGCCACAAACAGCTAGTGTGACAATCTATATTTTATAAATAGATATAGATAGAAATAGATGGATAGTAAAAATTGGTTTGTATAAAAAAGAAGTTCCATAGTGCGTAAGAGAAATCCCATAGCTGCTATAGTCATTCATTCATTCCAGTGACCAGAATAGTGAGATATCTGACAGATTTCATGTGTTGAATGAGCAAACACAAGCTGTTGTGTCATTTAAAGCCAGAAAGCTGTCTAGCTGCGGTCACAATAGATCAAATGCTGAATACTGAAAGTTTAAAGTGGCTAAAAATCCTCAAACCGGATTATAGACTATATGTATCAAACGTGCAGATCTTTCTTTTACAGTAATACATGTGGCAACATCAGAAACTATTTGTTTATGTCATGCATCATTTCACGGACACAGAATGGACACTTTTGGACAAAAATATTTCAACAGATTTTTTTTTTAAAAGAAGTTTGCATTTAGGTGTATTTACCACAGTGTAAAATGCATTTACACTGAAATTACACACATAATGTTATGAGATTCATGTTTTAACTACAAAAGTTTCAACAAAAAATATAAAACGATGGAAAAAGGCAATGATACTTTTGCCTATGAAAGTAAAACCGTTTCAGCAAGTGTCTAAATGAGTGAGTCATTGTATGATTCACTCAACCAATTTGATCAAAACGTCTGATTCATTCGAGAACAGAGCGGCTGCTTGTCTTCATGACTGGATCATTGCATTATTGAATAATGTGGTGTTCAGAATGCCACTGTGAAGCTTGGTTTTGCTGTGGTTTGTTTGAGCTCTTTTCTTTAGCAAAAACAGACAGTATTGACAAACGTGCCACGTAATATTGACTTCTATATTGAACTGTTTTATCAAATCAAATGTGCAGTCATGCTGATATTCAGAAAAACGGCTCTCTTGTTGGTCTTGTCTCGCTATGTCATAAAAATGTAAAACATGAACTCATACAGGGGCATTTTTGCCTTCATATCTCTAATTTCCTGAAGTCCCCATTCATTTCCTGACATTAGCGATCTTTCATAAACCATAAGTCGCATACATTAACAATGAACCTACTAGTGATCTCATATAATAGGCAGAACTGTCAACTCGATTTTAACAAATCAGGGAAAGTGGTTAAAATGGCTGTTTTGTTCAGTAGAGACTCCATTCTCTGCCAAACATGGCAGCGTCGTCTCAACCAATGGCTCGATTGTGGGGCGGGGCTTTCAGTTCGATTGACCAATGGCAGATGGACGAGAGTTCAAGAGTTCTGTTTCAACACTTCACCTTTAAAGGAACAGTATTTTTAAGTGAATAATAAAGTAAATTAAAGTCATTATTGACTATAAATGTACTTCTGCATTGTACCTCACACATCAAGACTCTTCCCGGTGTGATTGACATCAGTGATGAGACAGACGTTTGTCTGGATGTGGTTATCTGAACGGAGGGAGAGGATTCCTGCACATAATGATTTAGGTGTTGCTCTGTTCCTCACACAGATATATCAGAGGGTCTTAGAAGACTCGGAATAGCTAACAAACTCATACGGACTATTTTTGTGAGACGTTTGTTGTCATTTTTTGTGCTTCATACTTTAACAGCGCATCCGTGTTCATTAAATATGAATCGGGTGTCTGGGTGTGTGAATGAACGAACGTACAGATGCGCACTGTTACAGACGAAATATAAAAGACAATATTTAATTGACTAGCTTTGGATAGATTATAAAGTTTTTACTATAAAATAGAGATCAAATAAGCTTTTGTTAGACAGTTTCTGCTCATATGTTAAATTTATAGTATGTTTAGTCAAAAATAAACTAATCAACTGTTATAGTGTTTGTTCCAATGCAGGCTATATACAAATAATGAATCCTTAACTTTGAAATATGTATGATAAAATGAATTGGCCTACTTTAAAAAAAATAATACTTTATATGGAAAAAGAATGTTCTTTTCAAGATGTTTCCAACTCTAACTTTGAACCAATTCTGTAGAATGGCCCATATAACCCTGACCAGGATTTGTTTCCAGGTATGACTAAAAATGTGCTTTTGACTTTCATTTATATTTATATTTTATAAATATATATATATATATATATATATATATGTATATATGAATCGGTATGAACACACACACATATATATATATATATATATATATATATATATATATATATGTGTGTGTGTGTGTGTGCACTGTGCATACATATACACACACACACACACACATATATATATATATATATATATATATACAGATATATAGTCCTTGCATTCTTTCTTGTGTGACACACCTGAATGAAAGGCTCATTATTATGCAGGTCTTTGTCTTCTCAGATGAGAACCACCTAATTATACATGAGGAGGTTGGGTCGTTCACGCCTCCACGCATATTGCCTTTTCAAACAAAAATGTTTTTTTCACAATTTAAAAGAATCTATTGTTTTATGTGAATGATTAGGCAGGATGATTTTCTGATCATTTTGAAGCAAAAACTCTAGGCCACAACTTCCATTAGTCAAAAGTCTTGTGGACACATATTTAGTGTGCGTTTTGTGGCCTTATTTCAGAAACTTTAATTTTTAGTTTTTTCAATAACCATGCATAAACAATATTCTCTCAAAAATACAAACATGTACATACATGTTGCTCACATATTATGGTAGCCCTGTTTGTGCCACATAGAGTGTAATTTCACCTGTGCCGTTAATATGTTTATAAGCAACTGAAAAAAGCACAAATGTCAGGGCATGTCCAAACATCTCAAGGACCCCAAAACACCTTGGTCCCCAGAGGGTTAACACTGGACAAACAGCTCTGCCACACACAACCCATCACTCACTGAGGTGTCTGTGAACACTTATCATCTTCAGTCTGTGTGTTTGTGTCTGTCGTACTCTCCGTAAAGCGTACGCTGGATGTTTTTGCAGGTGGAGAACGAAGCAGAACCTGGATTACTGCTTCCTGATGATGTACGCCCAGACTAAAGGAACCTACTACGTACAGGTAAGATTAAACCAAATCACACATTCAAACTGAACAGATGCTTGGAGAACATGAACAAAAGCACAGTTATTGGGTCTGTGTGAACTGAGCTGGTTCCAGAGTGATGTTTCACAGGTATTGAGGCAGTAAATGAGTGATAATGTTCTGTCAGCCGGTCCAAATAAACCCTGCAGTTGTCTTGTGTTTTGGGAACGGTGGGAAATGGATTCCGGAGGAAATAGAAAGCTCTTATAAAGATAAGCTGATCTTTGAGTAAAGCTACTGTTGCACTTCCTTTGAAGAAAGTTCTTTTATGATCTTTTGTGTGTTTAGATGAAGCGTGTTCTTTGACACTGATGTGTGTGTGATGACTGCTTTTCTTAGAAAAGAGCAAAATTCAGCCTCCACTTTACTTTTAGCTTAGCAGTCCCAACACATGCATTAACCTCACCCAACATGGGCGTTTAAAGAAAAGAAAATGCACTCTACCAGCGTAGAATCCCGTGATTCAGTGGAATGGCATGGAGTTTGGCAATTTGTGGATGAATGAATCAAAAGTCGGCCTGTAGAATGAATCAAATCTCAACATGGACTAGTGTCTGTGAATATTAAAGCTGTTGAATCTGACGTCTGGATGTTCTGCGTGTCTCAGTTTGGTCGTCTAGCTCGTGGCGTTTCAGCGTCTCACTGTGTGAACACTGAACACATGGACGTCGGAAGCAAAAAAAAAAGTGTGTGTGTCCTCCCCCAGAAATTTTTTACTGTAGTAAATGCCATTTCATGTATTCTAGTGCCTTTCAATTAAACCAGTAAACTAAACTGCTTCACGTCGTGCATTAAATGCACAGCTATCCGTGGATTATCCCGCCGCTGATACCATGGTCATTTGCCAGCATTGACAACTTAAAGCTGTTATTGATGTTTGCAACACAATATTGGACATGGAAGGGTACAACGGGCGGCTATTTTCAGCAGTTCGTTGAGAAATATGATGTAGCGATTCAGCGGAAATGGATTAGTTTATTAGGGCATTCCTCGAGTGGAATGGATTTGACTGACGGCGCTCTGAAAAGTGAACAGACATATGCGCTGAATTAGAGACGGTAAAAGTGAGTGGGTCCAATATCATCTGGGTCATCATGGGTCTTGTCCCGCCCGTATACAATGGTCCCGACGCCCATGCATGAACTTCATCTGAGTCTCTTCAGCAGCGTTTCACCATTTCATTTGAGGAAACTCTTATATCATACACACACAGAAACTCAAAGGTCTACTTACCAAAAGTTCGGTTTAACTTGAAGAAATTATAACAGAAATATATTACCATATCATAGGAGAGTGTTCTTCTTCAGGTAGTAGTGGTAATAATAATAAGAATATAACAGTAATAAAGATTATTAAAACACACAGAATCCCAACAGTCTTCATTATAATCTGCCCAAATGAAAGTTTGTTCTAACTTATATATTACTATTGCACAGTAGAATGTACTTCTTAAAGTAATAATAGTACAATTTATTAAAATATTCTTTTGTTTTGTTGAAAAATATATTTTAAGCAGTAGTCTAGTAGCAGAAGGAATTATTCAATTTTCATTTGATTGTCAGATCAGTGAACTGCAATTCCCAGCATGCAGCTCAGTATTTAAATATGGCCCCCTCTGACTCCATATCCCAGAACACACACACACACACACGGCAGTACTCTAATGCTCCCTTCTCCTGTTAGCGAACGATTTACCTCGTGGGAAATGAGACGTGATGCCCTCTCAAGTCAGATTTACCACTGGCAAACTCAAGATCATTTTGATAGGATCCGGTCACTCACACCACATCAGGAGGAGGTCTGAGACTCGTCACACACGACACTGGACACGTGTAAACGCATCTGGTTGTTGAAACCACATATGTGAATTTTACTCCTCTGTAAACACGAGCGAGTGAGAGCGTGTCATAGGCTATATGTCATGGTATAGGCAGATATGATGGCACACATCACCGCATCTCTTCATCAAGCCAGCGCTCACTATCGCAAATCAGAGTGAAAGTTGCAGACCATCAACTCCTTAAAAGTAGAGAAACGAAATGATCTTATCAGTGCTGATGCCATTCTATAGAAGTAATGTAGACTAAAATCAATCGGCAATCTACTGATATTCCTGCCGCTTTCGGATGTCAATCAAATGTTAAATTTTCTGTCGAATTTCCAAATATGGAAGTGGATTTTAGAAGTGAAATCTGAAAGGTGAATATGGATAATTGAATGTTTAATAATGAAAACGTGTTTTGAATGGAAATATTCACAGCTTAAATATACAACCAATTTCAGCTCATAAAAATGCAAGCCCTAAAAATACAACGCATTAAACCGCAAGCTTGGTTAATGCAATGCATATTTTTTCAAGTAGTGCAATTCAACAAGCTTTTGTGTTTCAAGAACATTTGGCAAATTATTTTACTTCCATGTCGCTCTCTCCTATTGCGTTCTTTGATTTTGAAATTAGCAGATTGTCAATAAAATGCAGCTCATATCTGTTGCTTTCGGTGACGTGAACTCCATTAAATCTGCATATAGCGCGGGAATTAAAGATGATCGGATTTAAATCTGTTTTGCGAAAACATTTGTGTCCAGGTGTAAATGGAGTTATTTTGCTAAGTCATATAGCTGTTGTCCAGGTGTGAACACCCTATTGAGAGTGAGGAGTCACGTGCCGATTTGGGCGGGGTCTGAGCCGGTCGGCCATGATGGAAGGAGACGCTATCGGTTGCCACGCCTTCAGAACTTCACTGAGGCGCGACTAAACATTCATCCAGAAATAGCGAAAGAGAGACAGCGCAGCTTAGTATTTGTTTACATTTTACCGATACGCCGCAGTTTCTTTGGAAGATATGGAGAAGGAAGAGAAATGAAAGGGGTTCAATCGGGAGAGACTAAATAGCTAGCCAGCTTAGAGAAACTGCTTGTCAATAAACTGACAGCAGCAACAGCGAGCAAAGCCTGCTTTCAAAAGCAACACATTTCAGCACAGTTCGCCTTTTATTTAACACAAACGAACGAAATGAATACTCTGTTATTCAACTAGAGTTGTTTCATTTGTTATAGATATATCTGTACCGTGAAATGTTTTAAAAATACACTTTTTTTAATGACGTACGATTCGCATTGACAGGGGAATGTCCGAACTGTTCACTTAACGTTGCACGGCAGGTGCAAATGCACGTATCTGATTCATATTTATTTCCACATATGAATGAGGCCTGAATGAAACATCAAGTATGACTGAACTCTGGCAGTTTAACGTTACAGGTTTGGGGGTTTCTAAGTCTTGCACCCGCAGCCGCAACAGACTTGTTCAGCTTCTAACGTTAATCCTCTTGCATTGTGTAGGCAGTAACGTTAGTCACTGATACCATAAACAAACCAGGTAATTAACTTTGTCAGCGTATGTGAAAGGTGGTAGACTAGTGCTTTGGTCTTTCGTCCATTCTGTAGCAGGTCGTACGGGTCCATGTTGATGTCAAGTAGTTTCTCTAAATAACGCTGCTTTGTGTTGTTATTTAGTCTCTCCCGATAGAGCCCCTTTCCTTTTGCTTCCCCCTTCTTCATTTATTCCCAAGAAACTGTGCCTTATCGCAAAAATGCAAACAAATATCAAGCTGCTCTCTCTCTCTCTGTCGCTATTTCTCTCGGTCTCACGGTCGAAGTAACCATGACAACGGATAGCGTATCCTACCAAGATGGCGAATCCTTCCCACAATGCAACACGGAGTGATACGCGTGACGTCACCTTCTCATTCTCAATACACGAATCCGACGAGCGTTCTGTGTATAGGGTTGCCACCTTTGATTTTTGAAAAACCGGGACACGATTTTCCAGCGCTGTTTTTCCTTCATATTTAACTGAAATTTTGGCGGGACACAAAACACAGGTAGCGGAGAACGGGTCTCCTTGGGTGGGCCTTACCCATTCAGAAAAGTTTTCTCTTTTCGCCCAGTCTGAGTTGTAGGTTGTAAATCGTTTTTTCTTTGGTGGCTCATGCGATTTTGTTGTGTTATCCTCCTCGTCCGTCTCTCCCCCCATTTCACAAAACTGAGTAACGTAACAACGTTAGGTAAATAGAAAGTTAAAAAAAAAAGCTAGCTAGCAACTGAACTCGCACTGTTTAATCCTGGATGTGTGAGTGCGCGCGCGCGACCGACAGACGGCAGAGGCAGTTGCTAGGCGATATAGGCGCTTTGTATTTCTCCTTCCAATCAAATAAAAGTAAACGCCTGGCATCGGCCAATCCACTGTTTTACCCGTTTACAGACACAGGATTGGATGTACACAACCATGAAGACAACACAGTAACAGTAGAAGGAGACGGTTTAATTTGAAACTAGGAAATTCTACTTTAATTCTACTTTAGAAGTACCTTTTCACAAAAAAACGGGACAATTCGTGTCCCGGGAAAGAATATAAATTTTCCGGGACTGTCACTCAAAAAAGAGAACAATCCCGGGAAAACCGGGACGGGTGGCAACCCTATCTGTGTAGGCTGCCATCTTGTGGCGACGCCATTACTGAGCTGTTAGCGGTATGTAAACAAACCTCCGTGATAACGCACCCTCGATGCCAGAACAGCCAGGCAGAATGACTTGTTGGGTTGATGATGTTAGACAGTGGCCTCCAGTCACAGATGAAGGTACAAACGATCTTACAGATTATTTATGAAAATAGCTTGGCAAGCTAGCTAGGCTAACGTTAGCTAACGAGGAAACTATAAAAAGATCTGTCCATTTGGCAACAATAAATAAATAAATGACATCGAATAAACGAATTCATGTTTTTCATTTGTGTCCATTATTTATCTCATTTTCACATTGCAAAAGGCAAGGGTAAGGTACAGCTAGAAAGTATACATAATATCGACCAATTAGTGTTTTTAAACCATGGAAAGCGGTCAATATAACAGCAGGAGAACAATTATAACGTTACATTTAGCTCAGGAAAGCCATTTAATGACCATAGCATGTTAATTGAATGGAAAAAAATAGCTAGAGAGGAGATTTTGCTGAGCACTATATTACATATTTATTATATTTTTTACTTATGTCATTAAATCATTGTTATTATAACAAAAACTGCATTATATTTATTTTAATTTGTTATTTTAAAAAAATTCTGTCACAGTCAAGCAAATCAAACATTAACAACAGACCTAACAGTAACGTTACTAACGTCACTGCCCCAATGCGCCCTTTACTGCCGCCACTGAAACCATTTAAACCGGAACATGTTTTCCCACTCGACATTATAAAAGTTGTAACGTTAGTGACAGTCGTAAATCGCGGGCTGTTTATTCCAGTGGACGCAAGTTGCAACTAAAACAATAGGAGGCAATGGCGCAACGCTACCCAGCAACAGCTCCGTTATGGCGCCCACTTACTTCCGGTAGTTTCGTCTATAGGGTTCGGTCAGGGACTGGGACGGGCATGGCCGAAGCTTCATGTTGTGCTCAGCGACACATTTTTGTGTTGATTTTGATGTTTGTTTTGGGTTGTTGACCACGGCCCATTATAAGATTTCTAGCAGAGGGTTTTGATTTTTTATATGTTGGTATTTGCTAGAATCAATGATACCATGATGTGTCTGTGGAAGAAGTCCAGGACCTCCAGCAGAAAAGGCCAGCATCATATTACTCCTGCATTAAGACGATATAGACACACGTCCTCCTCCTGCAGATTCACTGCACCTTTAGTTGATTGGAACTTCTTAATTATTGCCCTGATTGTGGAAATGGGGATTTTCAATGCTTACGCTATTTCCTTACAGACACTTTCTATTTTGTGAAGCTCAACAATCTTTTGCTGCACATCCGAACTATATTCAATGGTTTTACTCATTGTTAAGGGAATTTGGCCTTTGTTTCCTCATATTTAAACTCCTCTGAAACAAGAAGTCATAGATGGACAATGTCATGTTTAGACACCCTGGTGTGATAAAAATATGTAAACATAAATGAGAATATTCCTCATAATTTACTCATAAAAAATTCTAGGGGTGCCAATAATTATGTTCAATGTGTTTTGTAGAAAAACATTTATTTCATAAATTCCATTTTCAATTCTTTTACAATGATTTTCTTTTTAATGAAAGGATTAACAATGCGGATTTAATTTTACAGCCATCGTTGATCATATTTGCCAGGGGTGCCAATAATTCTGAGCACAACTGTATATGAATAACCAGTTGAAGCGTATTATATGTTTAATACACAGCAAAAATATCCTGTATTCAAGCTGAATATCTAGATGTGAATGTTCCAATATCATATCATAAATGTCCACCGGACTTCTGAACACACAACCCTGTTATGGATCCACACGTCCCGTCGCTTGTGTTGTGTTATCAAGCCTTGATCACGTGATCTAGTGTGCGCGGATCGCCTAACGCTTCTGTTCGTCACTCGATTCATGCCTGTCGGATTTTCAATCGTTTGCTTTTTTAATAAACTCAATACGGATTACATTTTAAAAGGTTAACTAAATGTTTAGTTTTATAAGTTGATTTGATTACCACCATATTTGAAAGTAAAGTTGTATTTGCCATTACAATGTTTTTATATTCTATGTACTCCTGACAGTAAACCTATATAAAGGTAACCAATCAGGTCAACCAGTGGATCTCTGAGCTGAGTGAGTGAGTGGAGGCGGGGCTCATTTGCATATTCATAGAACCGCGAATACTAAATGAGGCAAGGGTGTCGAGTTACATTCAAGATGTTTTAACGTGTGAAGATTTTTTGTCCAAGAAAAAAACGTTTAAATATGTCATTTTGGTGATCAAAGATGAGTTTTAAGGGATAAAGTTATTGACTACAGGGGGACTTTAACCAATGCATTGAGACAGATTTTTGCTCATACCGCCCTGCAGTTAACGTTTATTTTATTTCAAGTACATTGTTTTATTTAATGGTTTTAGTTATGGTTGAATTCTAAGACTCAGATGATCAATGCCACAGAAGTGTTTTACGGATCTCGTTTCCATTACTGCCAGAAAAACATCTCAGCGCCAGTAAGATAATAAGTTTAGAAAGGCTGTAAACTTCTGGACTCTTGTATTAGCAAAACAAATTCTGAACATCTGAGAACATTTAAAACCGTTTGATTTTCTTTCTTCTCCCTTTGATAAAATGCATGTGAAAATTGGACCGAATTATAATTTTACGTACAGTTGCCTCTGCTTTAAGCTGGGATAACAAAGTATATTAACATCCGGAAAAATTACACACTTCACCTTTAAATCATTTAGCCTTTAGATAACCTCACCCCCCCCACCCCCCACCCTAAAAAAGAACTGAACTTGTCACGATTATATGCAAATGACTGGGATCCACTTCTTCTTCATCCTTCAGCATGCTCTTTCTCTCTCTCTCTCTCTCTCTCTTTCTCACAGCTAGAGGATGACATTGTTGCACGGCCAAATTACTTCACCACGATGAAGAACTTCGCCCTGCAGCAGCCGTCCGAGGAGTGGATGATCCTCGAGTTCTCCCAGCTGGGCTTCATCGGTGAGGCTCACACTGCGTATCAGCACACACACACACACACACACTCACACTGCGCACCTCCTCTATCAGCACACACACACACTCACACTGTGCACCTCCTCATGGACAGATCCCTCTCACACTCAAAACCTCATAAACCCATTATAAAGCTGGTTATGTCTCCAGGAGTGGATGAACTGTTGAGGTCGCTAATGAAAGGATTATTTTCAGAGATTCACATCTTCACATGGGATGAGAAAGTGATTTGGTCCATTCGGTTCACATTAGTCTCCACCTGAGAAATGTCATGGAGTGACACAAGAAGAGCCAGACCCAAACCTGTCAGTCCTAGAAGACAAGAAAAGATCAGAGAAAACAAAACTTACAGAAATTGATGGTTATACTTTATTGTGATGGTCCACTTTAGACATTCTACTAACTATAAATAACTTATCAACTACATGTGAACTAACTCTCATTAGAGTATTAGTGGACTGTTAGGTTAGGGTACAGGTTAGTAGAATAAGTTGACATGTATTTGCAAAGTTACCTTTTTAAATAACTAATGTAAATAACTTAGTTTTCCCATGTATTGACTGATGGCTCTGCTGTCCTCATGTAGAGAGGAATACTGGGTAAGTGCAGAGGTGTGTGTGTGTGTGTGTGTGTGTGTGTGTGTGTGTGTGTGTGTGTGTGTGTGTGTGTGTGTGTGTGTGTGTGTGTGTGTGTGTGTGTGTGTGTGGTACTCATCTCACTGTTCCTCAAAATTAATAAACAGTGAAATGCAAACTCAGAATATTATGCAAATCTGCAATAATTAAATAACACTAATAGACTTTATGTATTTAATCTCACTTTACTAACCAATGTCTTTGCTGCTGACCTTCGATGATCCAATTCAACCATATTAAAAGCAAAAATGGCTTTAGACAGACATCTCCTTTGTTTAATTGTTGTTTTATTTCTGCGCCCTCTACTTTTCAGTCGTGAGTTTGCATGTCCTTCAGCCTGAGGCTTATTCACTTCTGGTGTGAAAGGACCTTTACCTTTGCCAAAATAGAGCTTTTTTGTTGTTGTTATTAAAGAGCAAACAAACAAGCTCAGCGCAGGTGAGGGAAATTAACCCAAATGTAACGTATGCATTACTTAAAAAAATAAAAAAAGAGTTACGTTTTTCAATATTGTAACACATTACTTTTAAAAGTAACTTTCCCCAACACTGGCGAAGTTATGTGCAATTTTACTATACGATATGGTATTGTTGCCATGACAGCGTAACACCCAAAACAGCTGTAAACTTTACAGCTCAAATAACAGTGTTTTTAACATAGTAATGCACTGTGAGTGTTTGTATAAATTATAATCTTTAAGTTTCTGCTTTTAAACCCTCAAAAAATTGTCCTCATTCCCTTCCATTGTAAGTGCCTAACCTTGATATTTTTGTAAATGAAAACTAGAGACAGGTCTAAATCATATTTTGTGTTTATCAATATTATAGACACCGATGTTCTCAACTGAGCTTAAGTTGCAATGAACCCGCAATATTCAATTTAGAAGATTTAGCATTTTTCTTGACTTACACCTATTTGACACTATAGTCTGCTTTTAACTACTCGTGTAACTAACGTGAACTGTTTTTCTCCTGTCTATATTTCTTATATCCTTTACGTTTATCGCGGCCTCTAGTGGTGATGCAACTAGGTCATTACAGAAGAATTCATTCACATAAAGAAGGACCAGTGTATTCCTCCTTTGACGAAACAGTCATCAGGAGTGAATAATGACAGAGTTTTCATTATTTCAATTACCCAACTCTATTGTTTTGGTACTTCAGTTCTCTACCCATTCATCCACAAGTTTACCTTGGCTAACGGCGTCTGAACTCTGAGTTTAATCAGTTGGGTTCAATTAGAGGAATGAAGCTCTCCCCAGTCCAACCTGTGGCACTGGCAGCCGCAGTGATTGCTCTGGTACGATGTGTGTTTGAAATGAAGGCTAATTATGTTGATGATGGTGATCAGTGCTGGCTGAGGCCTCGAGGGATGGATGGGAAAAGGATTGATTTTGAGAGCTCTCGGAAACTCACCGCTGGGCCGATGAGTCTGCGAGTTAGTGGAGAAAATGAAGACTGTATGAACTCACTTATATCAGAACAGCACCTGTAAGCGTTTACATCAGGCCATGCGAGGGTGACGTGACCAAGGGTTGAGAACCGGTCTATAGCTTTAGAAAACTGCAGCACTTAGTGTCCGATCTTCACCAGCGTTTACATTTGATGGATTTGGCAGACGCTTTTACCCAGTGACATTTTATCAGTTCAGTTCATTTTGAATTTTTTTGTATTTGCCATAATCATCACAATTATAATAACAAATAAAGGCTTGAAATATCTCACTTTGCATGTAATTCAACCTTTTAAGTTGAATTACTGAAATAAGATATTCTAATTTTTCGAGTTTCACCTGTATATCATGAACTATGAATAATAGTAACTTCAATAAATGCTGTAAAATGCACCTAAATGTGTGCTATCAGTGTTGACTGATGTTGTGCTGGCGTGACAAATACATTTTCAATGGATGTTTTTACTCATCACAAGGGCTGATGGCAAACACACTCTTCATTGTTAGCCGACTAAATTTAAACCGCCTGTTCTGACACCGGCCTCGCTTTAGACGAACACAAGTCTGTGTGTGTCGGGTCTGCTGGGACTGGTTTGATCCATGGACTTTAGTCATGTTCCTCCTCATGATCAGCCATGTGATGAGCAACAAGAGAGCTGAAACAGACTCCCGCTCAGACCAGTTTATGATGGTAACTGGCTTCTAGTTGGTCTAGATGGCTGATCCTTTGGATTATCTGCTAGTGGAGCTGGTTTCTGACTTGTAGACCATGTTGGTGGAGCTGGTTACAGCTGGAAGAGCATCTTGAATCAGCAAGAAAAAAGTTGAACCATGTTAAAGTCGACATGACATGAAAGTTGCGCTCGTCTTTTCTTCCCTATTGTGATGTATATCCCAGTGCAACACTTCTGGAACCAGTGGCGAACCTACTGTGGTTGCCCTAGGCTAAATGAATGGTAACACATGAATATGAAGGAGGTTTTATGACTACTGTCATTGAGTGTTATTCACTCAATTATGAAATTTTGAACAGCATATTTCAAAAACAACTTACCCCACCTTTAACAAAATGTCGATCTTCATCTTTATAGTATAAGATACAATTCAAACTTCAAGATACAGTACAGTATAACGGATTGTCCCCTTAAAAATGGTGCTTTGTGTGGTGGTGACAGGAACAAGCTAATTTAATCTTTATTTTAGTACTTTATTAGTGTATCAACTAATTATATTAACTCAACTAATTTAAGAAGAGTTGAATAAACTAAATACTAATTGAATAATGCCAAGTAAGTAAATGTATTGATTAGGGCTGCCACCGACAAAATATTTTTCTAGTCAACTAGTAGTCATTCATTTAAGCAATTAGCCGACTAATCGCAAGTTAATATTAATTTAATTAGGCTGCTTAAATATATACGGGGGGAGGGGGGACATTTGCCTATTCCGTGCTCAAGAACACATGTAAATCTTGGCACAAAGCACCGGCAAAAGTAATGATGATTAATGTGTCGGGGGGAAAAATAGCAAGAAGACATTTTAATTGTTTATTAATAAACTAGTGTTTTCTGAGTCTGTTTTGGCTGTAAAGATGAAGTTGACGATGCTGACTCTCCATCTCCGCAGGATAGTGAGCGCGGCGCCTATAGAGAGAGAAATGCAACTTTTAATCGGATTACATTAACTAAGAGTATTTGATTTCAATTAGAATTGGTTCATTTTAAAGTAGACATTTCAAGCTTTATTTCTCATGTCTGTAGGGCAAGTATTCGCTGAGTTTCGGTTCATATTTGTGATCGCGCCGGCTTCTCCATGTCACACTCCACACAAACACTTGGATATGCACACATTTATTTAGGTTAACGTTAGAGCGAGCGGCAATGCCAGACAGATTATCCCTCTATATGTTTAACAAATCAAATTCTGCAAATTGTGTCTGTGTGGAATTGATTGGACGGTTGTGGTTTGCTATTGGCTGATCTCATGTGAGTGACAGGTTATAGCCCCGCCCCCCTCATCAGAGAAGAGAAGAGATGCTGCAAGAGGAACTGATTATGAGTCGAGATTACCAGGAACATGAGTTTAAAACAACAAGGATGAATTGTTTAGAATAAACACTGAAATGTTCCATTAAAAAATAGGAATTGTCAATTTCATGGTGACTTTAAGCTTGTATGAACGGTTGTTTGCTAATTCAGGCCTGCCCGCCGTGACCAAGAGTTCTGGTTATTTTTGCAGTAATGAGCAAGGAGGCTGCCAAGCAAGATGAGGTTAAGAGTAAAACGGCCTAATAGCAGAAAAGAAACGAGCTGACATGCCAGAGCAAAGATAAATCCCCATGATGCATCTCACACTCCTGCACTGAACACCAGTGTGTGACCCAGCCAGTCCTGGGCATTAACACCTCGCTCAAGTCAGCTCATTTCTGTCTTTTACACACACACATGTTTATTTCTCTAGAGTCTTTCTCTGCTCTTTTACTCTAATAGGTCCCAAAGCAGCAGTGAAGCTGTGATTGATGCTGCTCTCTGTCCGTATCACACTCACACACACACTCACACACACGCTCGTTTTCTGTGCACTTTGTCATTTCAGCCTCCTACACACACAATCACACATACAACTACATTTTAAAATAACTTCCCCTCCCTCTTGCAGCATCTCTTCTCTTCTCTGATGATGGGGGCGGGGCTATAACCTGTCACTCACATGAGATCAGCCAATAGCAAACCACAACCGTCCAATCAATTCCCCACAGACACAATCAAGCCCCGCCCACATGTGCTCTTGTTCCTGAAGCGCTTCACTTGATATACGACACTATAGACTATAGCAACTTCCCTTTAATGCCGACTTTAATTCGTTTGATCAAATCCCAGAGCAATAGTAACAGTGTTG